CTGGAAACCAGCCTTTAGTTTTCCAAAGAGGAGGAGAGTGGGTAGCAAGAGGCCTTAGGAGTCAAACCTACTTAATGACTTCAAGAGCCCAGAAGATGGGCTCAAGGGGCCAAAATTCTATGGGACAAAAGCTCTCTTCAGTGTGTGTCTTCCTCTTTTCCTTCAACCCCTTTTCTGAGATGATTTTCTCCATCTATTTCCTAACACATGGGAAAAACAAAGTTTAGAAAATATAACTAATTCTTTGTCTCTCTATAATGTGTCCTCTCTGTTAACTGCTTTGGGATAAATAGCAAAAATCAGAGATGAGAGCTTCCTTTGAGACCAATAACTTTGATCTCTTCTTGTAATAATCATTAAAACCATTGAGACTTTCAAATAAAAACTTCAAACATTTCTGGAAAAATATTACCCCCACCCCACCCTATCACCTCTGCTCAAGGATTACCGGTTTCTTTCTGTCTGGCTTTCAGACCCCACCCCCTCCTGAGTACGGCCACCAGGAACTGGGAGACCCCACGTGCTCACCTGAGCCATAAGCAGAAGCCCCACTCCACTCAGGAGCCAGACCATGCATAGATGAGGGGAGCTAAGGACCAGAAACTCCCCAGCCCCCAGCTCTCTGGTGCTGGAAAAGCCCTCCTGAATTGAGTGAGATGCAAGGTAGGGAAATGGGTGGATCCTGAGCTGAGATGGTTTCTGCTCCCAGTGAGACTTGAAATAGAAATAAAATAAGTTTTACAAAAATAAAGAAAAGTACATGTCTTGCACACAGTGTGTGATCTAAATGGACCGTATCCACAACAAAATGTGTTTGTTGTGCCTGACTGAGTCTAGCGACAGTCAGGTTAACTGTTCTGAAAGGTAGCCCCGTCTTGGGAGTGGGAAGAGGCAAGCTTGCCGGCATAGAGGAGTACAGCCCAGGGTCCCCAAATTGTCTGGCTTATTCAAAAGGGTGTGGATAGATACTATTTCATAAGTTTCTGGTTTCATTACAACCAGAATTCAGCCAAGAGACTGCCTCACAAATAATTTTTACCTGTATTATTATTCTACAGGAGGAATGGATTAATAATGTGACAAAATATGTTCCATGAGTGAGCTACAATGGATGCTAACAAGGTTGGTTTACTTACAAATAATCCCCGGAGAATGTAATTTGCAGGCACTTGATGGCGGAGGTTCCTGCAGCAAGCAAGTACAAAAAGTACAACAAACAATGCTGGCCTGAGAGTGATTTAAAGCCATGTGTTATTTGCTTCCAGAGATTATATCATTTGATATAGGTAGATAAATATATATATCATTATATGATATCATCTGATAATAAGTATTATAAACAAACTGTAGATGATTATCTTTACCTGTTTTTTTCTTTTAGCTTTTAAAACTTTTCTCTTTGCCATCCACTGACAGCTATGGGTTCTTTTTAATTTTTAATTTTGAAATAATTGTTTAGATTCACTCTAAGTTTGCAAAGGGACAGAGAGGTCCACGTAATCTTTACTGTTTCCCCCAATGGTTACAACTTACATATTTATAATACCAAAACCAGTGATTTGACATTGGTGCAAGGTATGTATGTAACACCATGTCATAGAACTGTAACACCAATCTATGTGTAGATATGTGTAACCAGTACTACAATCAAGATTTGGAATTATCACATAATTAAAACATCAACAAAGACCTCCTTTGTGCCAGGGAGGTTATGGAAATGCACACACACACACACACAAACACTTAATTCCTATCACCCCTAGTTTGCTAATTTTCCAACTCTATGATTTTTTAATTTCAAGAATGTTATACCTTTACCTAAATCTTAATAGTTAACAAAACATCAGCCAAATAGGTAGTAGAAAAAACAGTTTTTACTAAATCTAATAATACTTACAAAAGTGCATAGGTGAACCAGGGATTTTTTAGCACCCAAACTTTTAAAGCTTTCCTGGTTAAAAAAAAATTAATATAGCTTTATATAATAAGTAGTTTATTTTGCTAACTAACGTACTATTTAAATAGAAGTAAAACAATGTCATGAGAAGAAAGAGGGGATTCTAAATGCTTGAAAATGGCAGAGGGAGAATGAAACAGTGAACAGCTGTGCCTTGCTTCTTAAAATAGATTCACAAAATGATATAGTCAAAATAAGTTATAAGTCAAATTTGGATAAATGCACATGTCCTAGTGACAATTTTTATTTTTAAAAAATCCTGAGATTGGTATGTGTACAAAGCAGAAGAGATCCACCTCTCATATGTTCGATTTTCATAGGATGGGTTTAAGCAGTGATGGATCACAGTCCCTGGAATAATTTCTGCACTGAACAGTGTTCCCACCTCCAAGGCCTCTACAATCTCACCTTTTTTCCTTTTGTCCCTTCTATCTGTGGAAATAGCTCAGGGAAAAGAAAAAAAAGAAAAGAGGGCCCAAAATAAAAGTAAGAGAAATAATTTCTTGGCTTGGGAAGTTGAAATTAAACTCTAAAAACCTACCAAATACAATCTAGGAGTTGCCTCAGAAAAAACAAGCTATGGAAATATATCCTATGAATGACTTGAGAAAATACATAATTTTTAACTAAATTAAATCAAGCTAATTCATAAGAATTAATACAAACAACTGAATATTTAATTTGCATCAGTAATAAAGACTCACCAGAAAAGAAACATGTTGATAATAGCCCCAGTGACCACCAGCTGGGCAGACAGGATGAGGAACACTTTTATAATGAAAGCTGAGGAGACAGAAACAGTGTTTTTAGGACACAATACTCAAAAGCAAAAACACAAATGGCAGTACTTTAGTTCTTGCTGAAAGAAAGTCTTTCTCCTTGAGGATGGGAATGGGAGTGCTGGCGTGGCGTCCGCAAAGGGAGCAACCACACAGCTCGGCTCTGCAGGGCTGCGGGAACACGCTTCCTCCGAATTCTTAGAGGCCGGACACTGGAGAGCTCAAGAAGCCCCAAAATCTTAAAGACAAACTAAAGGATTTAATTCCTAACTATGCACACCCCGTCCTTCCTAGGACCAAAGTGACTGCAAGTCTCTGAGTGTTGCCGGGCCACCTTGAGGGGATCCAGCTGAACCCTGTGCAGAACAGAGAAGGGCGATGTCTCAGATTGACAGGACACTTCTGCTTCTGGACTGGGGCTACAGGGAGTTTGCAGAGCTTTTCCACCACTTTTTTTCCTGCCCACCCACCTCTAGTGACTCATTCCCTTCTACTTGTGCAGAAGGTAGATAACCTGACAAATGACAAGACCACGGAGTCCCAAGTGAATGGCATGTCAAAGCAGAGAGCAGAATGTGTTGGTCCCTCTTCTTGCTTACTTCCTACTGCACAGAGTTTCTGGAGCCCTCTGAATATGTTGCTGGTGATAAATTGTGCTGTTTTGTGAGTTTATTGCAATTTTTAAAGGGAAAAAAGAAATAATGCTGCTTAGTTGGCTTCTAGGATTGTCAACTGTGTCCCATGGTAGGTCAGTTCCTGTGTTTGAGGAGCATGGCAACAAAGAAAAGGAACTGAGCCAGCTTAAATACCAGCACATGTGCACCCAAATGTGTGCTGCCTACATCAAAATATTCATTTAGGTGACAGTAGTTTTATTTTTTTTATTGAAGTATAGTTGATATGCAGTCATATATTGGTTTCAAGTATATAACCCAGTGGTTCAATGATTACATATACCGTTAAATCCCAACTAGTGCAGTTACTGTCATAATAGAAGGATGTATCATTGGTTAGATTCTCCACATTGTAACATCCTCGTGACCAACTTACATTATGATTGAGAATTTTTGTGCCCCTTTATCTCCCTCACCTGCTCACCCACCCACCCCAGACCCTAGGTAACATTAATTTTGCATCTGCTATGTATCAGGGACTGTGAGGGAATAAATATTAAATATGGCCCATCCTCATAGACTAGACATATAGATCAATAGAGTAGAATTGAGAGTTCAGAAATAATCCCTTGTTTCATGGTCATCTGGTTTTAACAAATATGCTAGAACAATTCAGTGGAGAAAGAATCATGTTTTCAATAATTGGTGCTGCGACAACTGGATACACACACATAAAAGGATGAATTTAGACGCCTTCTTTATCTCATATGTATATAAAACTTAGTTAAAAATGGATCATAGACATACATGTAAGAAATAAAACTCTTGGAAGAAAGCATAGGTGTAAATCTTTGTGAGCATGGATTAGGCAAATGCTTTTTTAGATATGACACCTACACAAGCAAAGCAAGAAGAAAACAGATAAATTAGGTTTCATCACAAGTAAAAGCTTTGTGCTTCAAATGACACCATCAAGAAAGTGAAAGAAAAACACTCAGAGAAAATATCTGCAAATCATACATCTGATAAAGAACTTGTATTTAGGATACATAAAGAACTCTTAAATGCAATAACAATAAGACAAATAAATGTTAAAAATGGGCAAAACATGAGGGGGTGTCATGGGGAAGACAGTATAGCACAGAGAAGACAAGTAGTGAGTCTGTGGCATCTTACTACACTGATGGACCGTGACTACAATGGGGTATGAGGGGGCTTGATAATATGGGTGAATGTAGCAATCACACTGTTGTTCTTGTGAAACCTTCATAAGAGTGTATATCAATGATACCTTAATAAAAAAAAACTTAAAAAACAGGGCAAAACATGTTCTGCCCTCCCACATTGATGCTGGACTTGGCCACCTGACTTGTATTGACCTATGAGACATTACATATGTGATACAAGCAGAGACTTGATAAACTGCTTGCATATTAGGGCGTGTCCACCTGGTATACTTCATCTTGGGACCCAGCTGTCACATGATGAGACGCTAAAGCCACAAGAGAGCTAACAGCTATGCCAGCTGCCAGCCATGTCAGGGAGTCATAGTGGCTTGGCCTCTTAGCTTCAGCCACCCTCTGATTAAAACTGCATGGGAGCTCACAATTAAGCACAAAAACTACCTTACTGAGCCCAGTCGACCCACAGAATCTTGAGGGATAACAAAATGGTTGTTGTTTTTTAAAAAGTGGGCAAAGGATTTGAACAGACATTTCTTCAGGGAAGATATGCAAGTGGCCAATAAGCATGTGAAAAGATGCTCAACATCATTAGTCATTAGGGAAGTGGAAATCAAAACTACAGTGAGATGTCACTTTACACATACTAGTATAATAAAAACAGACAGACAGTAACAAGTGTTGTCAAGGGTGTGGAGAAACAGGAGCCCCCCTACATTGCTGGTTGGAATATAAAACAGTGCAGCCACTTTGGAAAAGTCTGGCAGTTCCTCAAAATGTCAAACATAGAGTTACCATATTGCTCAGAAATTCCTAGGTAACTCCCAAGAGAAATGAAGACATGTGTCTACCTAGAAACTCATATATGAATGTTGGTCAATTCATATATGTCAACTGATGAATGGCTAAACAAAATACTGTCTATACATGCAGTAGAATAGCATGCAGCCATAAAGAAGGGATGAAGCACTAACATAAGCTACAGCACAAATAAACCTTAAAAACATTATGCTAAATGAAAGAACTATATTGTATGATTCCATCTATATGAAATGTCCAGAGTAGGCAAATCCATAGGGACAGAAAGTAGATCAATGGTTCACAGAAGCTGAGGAGAGGAAGTGATGGGGAGTGACTGTTAATGGGTAAGGGTTTATTTTTGTTGTAATGGTTGCACAGCTCTGTAAATACACTAAAAAACAAAGAATTATATACTTAAAAGGGGTAAATTTTATGATAATGCAAAGTGTATCTCCAGAAAGCTGCTTTACAAAATTAAAGCCCCCCAGTCCTGCAACTCTTAATCCATTACCCTGCTGTACTCTTCTTTTTTTCCACACAACCATCATCCTTTATATACTATATAATGTTTTTTTAATGGATGGTCCAGCCTCTGCCCTTTAGGAGAGGAAGATATAAATAACTATTTCTAACAGTGCTGAGGAGGCTTTACATATGTTTTTAATTATAACCGCTTAAACCTTATTTCCTCATCTGTAAAATGCCCTACAATGGCTTCCTTCCCAGGGTTGTTGTAAGGACTAAAGGCAATAATTTTCCCTCTGCACAACACCTGGTGATGAAGGGTTGGCACATGTGCAGAGGCGGGTAATTGCTTAGTGACTCCACTTTCCCAGCCTCCTTACTCTCCAACCCAGATCTGTTAAAGGCTGTGATGGGCCTAAGTGAAAAACTACAGATGGACGCAGCCATGTGATCCACATAGGAGAAGTGACATGCAGTTGGAAACTCCTGGGTGTGGTTTCTGGGGGAGCCTCTGAAAAGCGGTCACATTTGGCCCGCTCTCCAGAGATCTGTCCGTGAATAGAGGCCCTTGGAGCTGTTTAGGGAAGCAGGCTGGTCTGGGCCTTTGTTTGCCTTCGCCTATCCCTACCTGGAGCTCAGGCTCCAAAAGGCATCTTTCCAGCCCCAAGATGGAGGATGAGGGCCACAGGAAGACAACAAGGGGTTTCAAAGCTCACAGTCCACCTTTAAGCTGTCCCGGCCCTAAGAAGGCCTAAGAGGGGCTAAGTGGTCATTGGGGACCTGTGGCATTTGCCTGAAGCTGCCTGCCTTCCAACTTTATATTTCATAAAAGGAAACAAAAAAACAAAAAACTTTGAATTCACTTAAGCCACAGTTCTTTTTTAGGTTTCTCTTGCTCACAGCTGAATATATTTCTATTTTTTATGCCAAATGAATATCTAGGGCATTGAATTAATATTCTTTAAAACTTAAGCCAGTATTATGGTATCACCTTGTATATAGATTAAGAACATTCTACACTCAATGATGAATTCACATCTCCTAAGAAAACCACAAGTTTTTACCATAATATGTTTATTATGAATTTCTGAATGCCCTGAACAACTCGAGGGCTGCCTATTATGCAGCCCTATGTTTCATGGTAAAACATGACTGGGAAAAACTAAAAGCAAAATTAACTTTTTCTGAGAACCCACTCTGTGGAAAGATTTTAAGAGAACATTTGCTTTTCTCTTCCAATAAAGATAATTTATTCTCACCTCTGCGGACAGACACTTGTGCCAACAGGCCAGTTACAGTGTTGCTGTTGTCTGGGCTGCCCTCATCGGAAATCTGTACTGCGTAGGTGTCCGTTCGCTGATTAGCCTTTGTGTTTGGATTCCCATGAGTTTGTCGTGGCCCAGCTGCAGGAGGAGTTGCATAAGCTTGACCAAACGGGGTCTGGGTGTCGTCATCTGCCGCTTTCTGAACCAGATGTTGATGATCTCCCGGACTCAAATCCATTGATTCAGTGACCTCCAAGTCCATTTTCCTGGAGGGTGAGAATTTTTATTCAGGTACTTATGATCTTATCACTACAACCTTAGTATCCTCATAACATACAGTTGGTTTTTTTCTTAATGTTAAGTCCCTTAAGTACTTACAAAGTCAGTGTTTCATAAATACTTGTTGAATGAATGATGAACACTGTTTTAAGATGAGGTCTGTAGAGTAAGACAATTTACATTCTTTTATGAAGTTAATATGTTTGTAAATTCATTCAGCAAGGAGCTAATAGCTCCCTCTTACACACCAAGTGTGGAGCTGCCCTCATCACCTCTGTCTTCAAAGAGCTTACATTTTTGAAGAGAAGATAACCAAACAAGCAATGATATAAAAGGCAATAGAAACAGGGCGAGAAACAGTAGAGGATGACACAGGAGCTCCTAACAAAGTCTGGAGGAGGAAGATTCAGGGAGTAGAAGAGGTTGTAAGAAACATCCAGAGAAAGTGAGGCTTAAGCCAAGGCTGGAAAGATGAGTAAGAGTGAGTCAGGGGATGAGGCAGGGAAAGGTTCCCCAAGCAGGGGAAACAGAGTGGACCAGGACTAGAGGAAGCAGAGGGCACGTTCTTGAAGCTCAAAGAAGTTACATGGCTGGAACAGGTTCGTTCAAAGGGGAGAGTGAGATTAGATAGAAGGGTAGAGGTGGCAGCTCACTGAGGGGCTGGCAAGCCAAGTTGATCCTGAAGTGAATGGCTGTGGTAGGCAGGATGTCCACATCCTAATCCTCGCTACCTGTGAATGTGTTACCTTGCACAGCAAAAGAACATTGCAGATTTGGTTAAATTAAGGACTTCATTAAGGGGGTATGATCCTGGATTATTTGGGTGAGTCCAACTGAGTCAAAAGGGTCCTCATGATCATACTTATATGAGGGAGGCAGAGAATCAGTCAGAGAAGATGAGACAAAAGAAGGAGAGGTCAGAGTGATACAGGTGGTGCCTTTGGAGATGGAGAAAGGGGCCATGAGCCAAGGAATGTGGGAGGCTTCTAGAAGCTGGGAAAGGCAAGGAAATATATTCTCCCCTGGAGCCACCAGAAGGGAACGCAGCTGTGCTGACAGCTTGATCTTAACCTGGCCAGGCTGATTTTTGGACTTTGGACTTCCAGAACTGTAAGATGATTAATTTGTGTTGTTTTAAGACATTACACATGTGGTAATTTGTTGCAGCAGCAATAAGTAATCAATACAGTGGGAACTCACTGAAGAGTCCCCAGCAGGGGACCGTGGAGCTCTGTCTAGAAAGTTTACCTCAGGCCAGTGTGGACAACAGGCCAGTGGAAGCAGAGAGACCAGAAATCCAGGTAAGGGATAATGATGGGCTTTGCCACAGTGCTTCGCAGCAGAACACAGTTCTTGGAAAAACAGTACTAAGAGGACCAGAAATTGCAAAGGAGAAGGTCCCCATTAACCTTATAGAGACATGAAAACTCAGGCAAGCCCCTGCTGCTGGCCTCCTGTGCACAGAGAGAGCCATGCAGGAGTTTGAGAAGGACATTGCTGAATGGGCAAGGGCTTCAACAAACTGAAGACCTTCCGGAATGGTGGAAATAGAAGGTCTGAACAAAATACCTGGCTCTTGAAAAGGCAGTTTTGTAAATATGTACTCTCTCCTCAAATTAATCTCTGAATTGTACAAAGTTCATTGGGATTTTTTTTCAGTAATTAAGCAAAGATACTTGAAATGTAACTCTAAAGTTCATCACAAAGCATAAATGTGTGAGAATAACAAAGAAAACACTGAAAGAGGATTATGGGGAGAAAGAGGAGGAATAGTGATTTACCATACCGGAAATCAAAATATCATAAAGCCATGTGATTAAAAATGTGGCAGTAGTATGGCAATAGCTAAACAGAACAATGGAACAGAAGAGATTCAAGAAATAGAACTCATATATATATATAAAAATTTAATATTTGACAAAGGCAGCATTTCTAATTACTGTCCCACGATGTTGGAACAATTAGCTATGCTTGGAAAATGAAGTTTAATAACTATTCCACATATTTTACAAACATGAATTAAATATATTATCATAAATAAACAGTAGCCATATATATATTCTACCAGAAAATGTCAATGGATACTTGTCTAAGTCCTTGTAAGAATGATTCCATCAAAGAAATGCCTGACAGATTTGGGGTATAGGGAGGAACACTTTAGATATTATTACAAAAAGATACCAATGAATCTGAAATGTAAAATTGTGAAAATAACATATACAATATTTACTACGCTGTAAAAAGAACTTTTTAACAAGGAAAAGATGGGAAACTCGATAGAAAAATCAGAAAAGAATATAATTAGACAATTCATAAAGGAGATTTAAATGATCAATGTCACCTCATGAATAACATAAGTACAAGTAAAAGCAATCATGAAATGTCTTTTTTCTTTTTTCATTAAAGACTGGCAAAAATTAAAAAGATAATTCTCAAAGTTGCAAGGGTGCGGTGATATGTGTGGTCCACGGCCTCATGATGATTTGTGGGGTTTTCTTCATAGGTTCTCTTCCCATAAAAAAATTGAAATAGTGTATTTATGCTGCATTGGTATAAAAAAATATAATCCATGCTGGATTCATTGTTTATTATATATTTATTATTACTAATTCATTTTTTTCTCCTAATTTTAAAAGATACTAAAATATTTTCATTACCCCTAAAACGACCGTGGACCATAGACAATGTGCCTCCTGTGCCCTGTGGTTAAGCCAGCCCTGAGATAAATCACCTCGCAGCAATTGGCAGGCGTGTAAACTTTTTTGGTGAGTAATTTGGCAGAATCTATCAAAATTCAAAATGTGCTTTACTTTAGAGTCAGTAGTTACATTCTTAGGAATTTATCCCATAAAAATACCCACACGACTAGGTGATGACACCTATATGAGCAAGTTCATCACTCATTGTAACTGCAAAACTTTTCAAACAGACTAAATAACCATCAGCAGAGGAATGGTTAAATTAGTTTTGGCAGGTATATATGGATTGGTGTGGTATGTTCACTCTGATTTTTGAGTTTAAAAAAGAGAATAATACTTACTAAGATCACATTAGTGTTTTATACACACACGTTTCCAGAGATGGAAAAGATACTCCACAAACTGTTAATATGGCTAATTCTAACACCACAGAGTTGTATGAGTTTTTATACTGAGCATTTATTATTCATATTTAAAAAGATACTTACATTTTGAAGGGAAAAAGAACTATTTCTCTCTTTGATAAAGTCTGGAGCGCCTCTGAGGAAGGCAGTCACACACGGCTGGGAAGCGTGAAGAGGCACCTGAACCGCTGGCTGTTCTTCCCCGGCAGCCCTGCGAACCAGAAGAGGGAGAGGCAGCAAGACGTTTCAAAGCACTCAAACCCAGAACCAAACAAACAAGAAACAATGGCAGCTGAGTTTTCCTTATGAAACTACAGACGGCTGGTGCTTGAAGCACACAATGAGGCTTTCACCTGGTCCTCAGAAAGCTTTCCCGACTCCTAAGCCAGAGGCTGTCTGAAGAACGGGCAGCTGCTGGGACTGAGAAGCCAAGTTCCGAGCGACAGTTAAGGAGTGGCAGTTGGAGCATGGGGTGGGCCAGGGACCAACTGCCTAGGAGAGGGCTCAGAGCCAAGTCCACCTGCCCAGCCTCATAATGGTCAGGCAGTCCTGGCCAGCGTGCTCTGTCCTGAGGCTCAGGAAGGCTGACAGCGAACCTCCATAGCTGCCTGCATGGCAGGGAGTGTCCCTAAGTCTTAGCGACAGGCTCCCAGGGAATGCCGTGTCCTCAATGTCTCCACCTTCACCCAGGCAGGAGGAAGATGCTTCTGAAACTCCACCGGGGATCCTGCACAGTTATTTCAAATAAGCAAGGCTTGTGTTTGATAGGGCAGGCATTGGTTTTGTGGTTGATGGTGAGGACATTCGTGTCCCCCATGGCACAGGGACATGCCTGCCCCAGGACACCTGATTTGGCTGCTTGGCGAAGGACATCAGCTGACAAGGCAGGGGTGAGGCGGGCATCAAGGAAGGGAGTGGTAGCAGACTCTGCCCTGAGTGGAGACTCTTGCTGAGGAAGGGCTGATCAACACACTGACACACTTATGAAGCTGTCAATTAGTGCGTGCCTACTGTGTGCAAGACATGGGGAAGTACAAGAAACACAAAGAGGAAAAAGGCAAACTTCCTTTTTTCCACATGCTCACAGTCCAGGGAAGAAGACAAGGGCACAGAGGTGTGACTAAGGTGGGAGGGAAGGGTCACAACGTGGTGCAGCTATTCAGAGAGCTGGAGAAAGGAGGTGTGGCTCTGGCAAGGAGGCTTCCTGGAGGAGGTGATGCCTGAGTAGATTCTGGAGAGGTGGGGATGGTCAGGTGTGAAGTGTTAGGAGGAAGCATATTCCAGGGAGAGAACACCCTGAGCCAAGGCACGGGGTGGGCACCGTGGGGCATACACACAAAAGGGGAAATAATTGCATAGGTTGGAATGTGAAAAATATGACAGCCTGGGAGACGGAGATATCACGAGGCCCCTCCTGAGGATACAAAAGGAAAAGGTCAGCAAGAGTATCACTTTGGCTCTGCTCTCTTGCACCTCCTTGTAGTGTCATAAGTCTTCTCTACCTGTCCAGCCCACACTCTCTCCCCTTGTTGATTAATGTCAATAGGCAACTTGCCTTAATTACATTTTTTCCCAAGATTACATGTTGGGGGTGAGGTATAACTAATGACTTAACCAAAGTCTGGTCAAAAGAAATGCTTCTTCCTCCTCCTCCTTTCTTATCAGCCTCAGAGGGGACGTTAATCAGGTACCTACCATATGCGAAAATTCTTTACAACCTCTTGTCAACCCTCAGGTCACCCTTCAAGGTATGTTTTCTCCTGATCCTCATTTGACAGGTAAGTAAAGGGAGACTCAGTGGCACTATGTCCCTGAGAAGGACAGGACAGTCAGAGAATCCTACACCGTGCACACAAAGTGTGGTGAATAGGATCCATTTG